AACAATCGTTTGAGTGCCCCATAGGGGGGTCACGACACTCACCTTAAAAAAAAAGTTATATGAGTGCCCCAAGTGGGGTCACTACTCTCAGTGCCGTTGAGACTCCCCCGCGGCACTAAAAGACCTTCATTGGTAAATATCAAGAATTGAATACCAAATAGGAAAATTAAAAGGGTAAAAACCTTTGTTTGGTTAAAGAGCCCAGAGTTTCCCCCTGTAATAGAAGTTACTACCCCTTGATTGCTTACACTTTTTCTTTGTTTTATTTTGTACACATATAAAAATGTGTGGGGCCCATATGGAGCCATGTGCAGAATATAGAGAGAAAAAGAAAACATAACCCTCACACATTTTTATGTGTGTGTAGGAGATAAAATTATCTCTTACAATATGAGAAACTCTAATGCCATATAAATAATGACTTTAATGTTTCTACAATAAATGTAGATAATTTATCTATATTCACTCCCAAAACGATATCGTTTTGAGTTGAGAGGTTAAAAAATTATAATAAGAAAGACTATTACAACTCAAAAATAAATTATAATTACAAAAATATATTGATTTTCACCCTAAAACGACATTGTTTTAAGCTCAATATAGATAACTTATCTACATTGACAATATAGATAATTTATCTATATTGACATCAAAAAAATGAACTTATAAATAATATGACAACTAAAGTGATCTGACTTAGTAATTAGCATTTACTCCCCTTCCCAATTTTCAAGAACCGGTTCAACTAGAAAATCGGAATAGGCTCTTCACCGCATTATATGTATAGGTGGCAAAGTGAGCCGCCTGCCCCGCCCCGTCATCAACCCGTCAAAAAATGAGTTAGCCCACCCTGTCTCGCTTTTGAAAGTGGGCTAAAAAACTCGGCTTGTCTCTTCTCTTTTGGCCTGCTGACCCAAACTTATTTTACCCTGACTCGTCTCGCCTCACCCGTCTCTCCTCGCCAAAAAATGAGCATACCTCGTTTGACGAGCAAGGCGGGTCGACCATCCGAGTCGAGCCCATTTTACCGTCAGAATTGATCTGTTGACTAGACCGGACCTGACCAATTCCGATTCAACCGGCCGAACCCGCAGGTTGAGGCATAACACTTCTATAAAGAAGGAAGAGTACTATTAGCAACGATAAACAAGTTTGATGACTTTTTTTTTCTTATGCCTTTTCTTATTCTGAATTTTTATTCACTAAAAAACAGAACTTATGTATATATTTATTCCGAACAGCATGATGAAATTATTAAAATATTAACTACGAGTAATGAAATTTTACATTAGTTAAATAGTAATCAAGTGAAAATCATATAAATAAAAAACTTTTCAGTTTATTGTCTTAATTTTTTTAATCAATATATGATATTAATTTTATTATTGTGATTTGTCTCTTAATCCATATCTCCTCTATTTTTGGCTCTCTCAAATTGCCTAACTAGTAATATTAAAAACTATGGTTCACCTAGTGTAGTTAAAACTCTAATCAATCATCAACTTAGTCAAATTACTAGATCAATGAGTCACTGCTTCAATTGATTGAAATTTATATAAATATATGAAATGAATATAATAAAAAAAGTATTTTGACAAACAATTGGTATTGCTGATTCGTTCATCAACAACTGATATTTTCAACTATTTTACACTAAGTTTCAGAATACCGGTTCAACTATAAAACTTCATTCGATTTAATACCAGTTAATTTGTTGCAAAGTTTATTGATAAAATATCCCCTTTACTTTTGAGCTCTCTCTAATTGCATAACAGTCACATTTTCAGTGTCCGCTTACAATTATCAAATTTGGAGCTGCTTTCGAGGGCATTTGGACCTATATAATTCAAAATGCGAATGTTTGACCTATATAATTCTATCAGAATAGTATTGGCCATAGTAATGCATGGCAATGCGGTATGTCGAACACCGTTTTAAGAAATGGTAGGTGCAACATCATCATTCTATTTTATATTGGTGAATAAAAAAGTCAATACTACTCAATGTTATTAAGATCGAGATCTTACTTAAGATCGGGAAGGGATAAAAATATCGTAAATCACAATATCGATACGGATCGTAAGATCATAACTGTGTATGTAAAATATTAAAATTATATAAATAATCAAATTACTTGACAAAAATAATGGGGATATTGCAGTTGACCATTATCATCGCTACCTGGTATAGTATGAACTTTGTTTTAACTTAACATTACCCTTTAAAGTATATAATAGATAAAATATGGTATTCAACCGTGTGTATCTTATTGCTTGATCAATGTTTAAATAGAGTTTACATCAAAACAACTTCCTATTCCTACGTACAGTTTTACATGAAGCAAAAATAACAAACACTAAAACTATCCTATTTACTAGTTAACAAACCTAAAAGTATGCTAACAATACACAAGGCTAGCCGATAGAAACTGCCGAACTGAGATCAGGGATTTGCATGGGATCTTCGACTAGTATGTAGAATATTATATTAACAAACATATTAGCAGCTATGTGAAGAGCTGCTTGATTGTCGCAAAATAGTTCTATGGGATCATTATGAGATACACCAAGTGAAGCAAGAAACCCTTTTAGCCAAATTAATTCAGCTGTCGCAGCTGCCATAGCTCTATACTCTGCTTCTGCAGAAGAACGGGACACTGTTACTTGCTTTTTCGTTCGCCAAGAAATTGGTGACGTTCCTAGCATAACAAAAAATCCTGTGATTGATCTTTGGGTTAGAGGACATGAAGCCCAATCTGAATCACAATATGCATGTATTTTAAGATCACAATCAGATTTTAAAAGAAGGCCTTGCCCCAGATTCCTTTTAATGTATTTAAGAACTTTCATAGCTGACTCCAAATGAGCTTGTTTAGGTTGTTGCATAAACTAAGACAAAGTATGAACTGCATAACTCAAATCAGGCCGTGTAATGGTGAGATAAATCAGTCTGCCTACAATTCGCCTGTATCTTTCTGGATCACTCATTTCAAGACTTTCCACTAGTGCCAAACGATGATTTTGTTCAATTGGTGAGTTAGCAGGCTTACTACCACTAAGTCCAGCTTCATGAAGGATGTCAAGAGCGTATTTCCTTTGGCAAAGAAAAATACCCTTTTTGCTACGAGCAACTTCAATACCTAAGAAGTACTTCAAGCTTCCAAGATCCTTAATTTTAAAACATGTATTCAAATACTCTTTCACTTCTTTGCATTCTTGTGAATTGTTGCCTGCTAGCACTATATCATCAACATAAATTAGAAGAGCTAAAAATGTATCACCTTTGTTCAATGTGAAGAGAGTATAATCCGCATGTGATTGTTGAAATCCATAGGCGGTCAAGGATGCGCTGAGCTTAGAGAACCAGTTCCTTGGTGACTGGCGTAATCCGTATAAGGATTTGCGAAGCTTGCATACCTTATGACTTGTACCATTGCTGAAACCAGGTGGAAACCTCATGTAGACTTCTTCGCTTAACTCTCTATTCAAGAATGCATTGTGGACATCTAACTGGTGCAATTCCCAGTTGCGTGCTGCAGCCACTGCCAAGAGAGTTCTGACACTAACCATCTTCGCTACTGGTGCATAGGTCTCATTGTAATCTTCACCTGCTACTTGATAGTTACCGGCAATTACTAAACGAGCTTTAAATCGTTCAATGGAGCCGTCTGAGTGATATTTAATTTTGAACACCCATTTACTTGGAAGAGCTTTACGTCCCGAAGGCAGTTCAGTTACTTTCCATGTATGGTTATCCTCCAAAGCATTAATTTCGTTCTTCATTGCTTCAACCCACCGTGGATCACGTAAAGCTTCTTTGTAATTTTTGGGCTCACTACATATATCAAGTGCTGCAACAAAAGTACGGTGTTGAGCAGAAAATTTAGACAAAGTAACAAAGTTAGACATAGGATACCTGACACTAGAGTTGGAGTCAGCATGAGTAAGCTCTTGAGAGTGTATGTGAGTGTCAGCCATGTTGCAATGATACTCTGTCAAGTATGATGGTGCTTTTCGTTGGCGTTTTTCACGTGGAAGAGTGGCTTGGACATGTACATCAGTACTCCCCCTATCGGCATGATTAAACACCCCTGGATGGTGCAATTATGTCATTGCTCCCCCTCTCTGCAGAAGTGGACTCCACTGGTTCGGGAACTACTGCAGGATTCTGATTAATAATATCCGCAAGAGGTGCAACGTCGACGGCATCCATAGATGGTGGAACCTCCTTCGCAATTGGTGATGTGAATTCAGAAGATACAATATCCTCCATGTCGGTGAAAGAAGTGGGCAACGTGAGTGTACTAGAATCAGGGAATGTCACCGGTTTCTCTTTGAAGGGAAATTGGTTTTCATAAAAACAAGCATCTCTTCCAACAAAAAAATCTTTTGTTTCCAAATCATAGAATTTCCATCCTTTTTGGCTTGTAGGATATCCCATGAAAATACATTTACGGGAACGGGAAACAAATTTGTCACTGGGTTTCGGTCTCATATTAGCATAGGACAAGCAGCCAAAAATACGCAGATGATTGTAGCTAACAGGTGTTTTATACAACAATTCATGCGGACACTTATTGTTTAATAACCTTGAAGGTGTTCTATTAATCAAGTGCACAGCTGTTAAAATGCTTTCCTCCCAAATTCTACTGGCATGTTGGCCTCAAAGAGCAATGCTCTGGACACATTAAGTATGTGTCTATATTTGCGTTCGACTCTTCCGTTTTGCTCCGGTGTATGAGCACAAGAAGTCTGGTGTTGGATTCCCATAGCACGAAAATGGTTCTGCAAAATATTAGACTGAAATTCGGTCCCATTATCAGTTCGAAAAAATTTAATTGTCTTGCCAAATTGAGTTTGTATCATCGTGATGAATTTAATGAGACAATTACTTGTTTCTCGTTTTTCTGCTAGCATAAACACCCATACTGCTCTACTATAATCATCAACTAATGTTAAAAAATAATGAGCTCCAGATGTAGAAGGTGTTTTATAAAGTCCCTATGTATCACAATGCACAAGATCAAAGCTTTCTTTATTTCTAGCGAAACTGAAAGGAAAAACAGAACGAGTGTGCTTGGCACGAAAGCATACATCACATGCTTTATCGTGTACAGCCTTATTTTGAAAATGAGAAAGAGGCGAAATTAATGAAACTACTTCATACGATGGATGTCCCAGCCGTTTATGCCATACTTCCAAGGAATCAGATGTGTGAGTTGCAGCAACTGAAAAACTTTGAGGCTGAAAAACATACACTCTGCTGTAGACTCCTTGTTGCAGTAGTTGCGAAACTGAAATCAAGTTACAACATAATTGTGGAACATATAAGACATTCGTGAGTTTAAGGTGCTGGGAAAGCACAATCGTCCCTTGATGTTCAGCATAAGTGATTGACCCATTGGGTAAGTTTACAGCTAATCGTTCCACCGGGACAACATCAATTAGCAAATTTATTGATCCTGTCATATGTTGGGAGGCTCCACTATCAATAAGCCAAGGGAGATTAATAGCCTTACCAGTCAACTTCTCTCCTTCAACAAGAGCTACTAGCTTGGTGATAAGCTCTGGTGTGAGAGTGGAGAAGGCGTTGACTTGCTGAGATACAACTGGAGGGGCGGCTTGCTGGATAGGAGAAATCTGAGCAGCATTCGCAGTAGGGACGTGGTCTGATGCAAAACGTCCTCCATGGCTGTAATCGGAGCGCCCTCTGCCACAACCTCGTCCGCGGGCACTCCCTCGATTAGGAGGGTAGCCATATTTCGACCAGCAACGTGAGGGATCATGATTGTTTTTGCCACAATGAGGACAAGGGCTACGATCAGGTGGCTTCTCAGGGAGCATGGGCTGCGCGGCCATCTCCTTTGTTGTATCCGTTCGAGTAGCATAACTTACAGCAGTGTTGCGTGCGTCATGGCTACGAGCAATAGTGCGGTGTGTCTTTTCTTGAGTGACCGTAGCATAAGCCTTGTTGAGAGTGGGAAGAGGTGTAGTGTTTAGAATCTGCGAACGCAAGTTACCAAACAAAGTGTCATCCAATCCCATATGGAATTGGTACACGCGGTCATGTTCTCGTTCCTCTTCTGCTTCCTTAGCATAGGCGCAGTCATCCCCACACGCGCAAGACTTGCGGGTTTTGTTTCCTTCGAGATCATCCCATACAGCTCGCAATTTGGTGTAGTACTCCCCAACGGTGCTGCCATGTTGACGGATGGTAGTGAGACTCGCCTTTAACTGGTATTGTCGTGGGAAGTTTTGAACAGCATATCGTTCCTTCAAGTCCTCCCAAAGGTCCTTCACTTCTTCAAAGCATTTGATAAAGGGTTGCAATGTCGGATCAATGGTGTTATGAATCCAGCCATTGATCATGGAGTTGCACATAACCCATGCACGCCAGTCAGCGGCGTTGTCTTTCTCCGGTTTCTTAACATCTCCAGTGATGAAACCGAGTTTATTCTTTGCACTCAGTGCGTTTTTCATGAGCTTTGCCCAGTTGTCATAATTGGCTTCTCCGCGCAACTGTACTATCGTCAAAAGAACACCTGGATTATCGGAACCACCTAGATAGAAAGGGGAACCAGGGTCCGTAGGTTTTAAGTTGTTACTGTTTTCTCCTGCCATTGAAACTTGGACAAGCTTTCACACTCACTTGTATTTGCGGAAGTTTTCGTAACCTGCTCTGATACCAAGTTAAAATATGGTATTCAACCGTGTGTATCTTATTGCTTGATCAATGTTTAAATAGAGTTTACATCAAAACAACTTCCTATTCCTACGTACAGTTTTACATGAAGCAAAAATAACAAACACTAAAACTATCCTATTTACTAGTTAACAAACCTAAAAGTATGCTAACAATACACAAGGCTAGCCGATAGAAACTGTCGAACTGAGATCAGAGATTTGCATGGGATCTTCGACTAGTATGTAGAATATTATATTAACAAACATAATATTCTTCAACAATAATATATATAATTTAATTTTTATATTCGCCACTTTGGTCCACATATCAAATCTGAGTTATTTTAAAATATTTAAATAATACTGTATGGTCCATGCGCTCCACTGCTTCCACGCGCATATTCAAAGGCGTTGGTAAAGAACTAAAGATTTTTATTACGCAAGTGGCGGAACCCCATTACCTCTCGAGGAAGGTTCGTTCAGAGCGACTCGTACAAGCTTGAGTGGACCAACCTTTGCTTTGGGTCCAACGAACTCGAGTGAACCCCATTTCCTTCGATTCCACCTCTTCAGTGTAGAGTGTAGACCCATGAGCCAAGCCCATTCTTCCTTCCGCGCTTGAAGCACCAAGTCATTTTCTTAATAGCACAGCGTCGAGTCCTTTTCTTCATGGTGTCTGAAGTGCAAAGCTTATAAGGTGATGGGGCAAAAGAGCCAACGTTCAAGTGCTTCAAGGCAATGATGCCAGTATCAGCGAAACACAAGTAAAAAGCTTCCAGAAAAATGCAAAGAATAATGGAACACAAAGACGAAAGTGAGATGGATCTGGACATTTGAAGCTATCTGAGTTGAATCGCAAAAATGGTGGGATCGTACGATCCCACCGATTCCGCGTTCTTGCACAACGATCTCACACAACTGAAGAAGAAAACAATTCTATTTACGATTTGAATCGTAGCAATTGGAAAAAATGTAGGAACGAACAATCCTGCGATTTCACACGCGATCTTAACAACCATGATACTACTAGTACATAAGGCAAGCAAAATCAAAGTGAAGGCCTCGTCTCTAGATATTACTTATTTGAGAATGTCAGACCTGCAATCAATCCTTTCTTTTTGTAAAAATGAAAAAGGAAACAAAGGATGAAGAGAGCATGAGAATGGGTACGTGACAAGGGAGGAAGAATAAATTTTCTCTCTAATCAATTTGCGCTGCTACGTTGTTTTAATTATCTCTGCTAACTAATATAAGAATAATTATCTTTTTTCGTCCCTAACAAAAAATCCGGTCCCCACTTTAGTCCATTATAAAAAAAATTAATCACCTGGTCCTTATGAAATTCAAAGTGGACCAATTTTGGTCTTTTTGAGAGACTAATGTAGATCTTTTTTGAATTTGTGAGGGACCATGATTTTAACTAAATTGATTTACTTTAAATTTTTTAGGGACCTCGAGACTAATTTTTTTTGTAAGGAATTAAAATGGAAATCATGTTTTTTGCCAGGGACTTAAAATGATATATATTCATATATATATATATATATATATATATATATATATATATTGAACCAAAAGGCAAATAAGAACTTGCAATAAAAAAAAAATTAAAATAAAATTTTTTATGACCGCACTTACGGGCATTTGCCCGCAAGTGGGTCCGCCACTGATCACCCATATAATTAGGAATATAAATGAGTAAGAAAAATTTTAATGGGCTAACTTATCTTTGGTTCAATCTATTTTCAAAGCAGTACATGTTGAAAAATAAAACACAGAGAGAGAGAGAGTGAAGAACTCAATGAAATAGAAAAAGAAAGTTGCGCCACTTTTCTTAAAATACGTTTGCATGCCTGAGGTGTTGGAGTCAGATGGGACGCGTCTTGTGCAGCACCGTGTTCTTCTTATGAAACGTTGTTGCACCTACCGTTTCTTATGGCCAATAGTATTCTGATAGAATTATATAGGTTAAACATTCACCATTTTGAAATTATATAGGTCAAAAAGCCGCTTTCTAGGCATTAAATAATTTATGAGAATGGATTGTCTCATATTGTTTTTATAACATCTGTGATGTGTAAGATCTCAATCATTTATTCGCAGAGTAATGATTATAGTTTTAATGAAAATATTTGTAAACAAAAAAGTGGAAATTAATACTTTAGTTGTTGATCATTGATTTGTAAATTAATGACTGAAATCTTGTATATAACATCCATTTCCACATTTTTTATAAAGAAGACAAGGGTCTTTTGTGGTTAACTTTTTAAGGCAATGTTCAAGGTGCAAAGGATAATAATGGAAGTTGGGTTACCATTAAATTAAAGCATACCCAAAATGCGGCTATTAAGTATTTCGTTCGTTCTACCCAAAAAAAAATAAGTATTTGGTCGTAACTCTTTTAAATCACTCTTAGAGACTTAAATAAGCGAATGAGGTCTCGGCCAAAAAAGAAATAAGATAAATGATGCATTAGATTGTTAAATACTCAAAGAATTTTTTTTCTCCTTTCTTTTCATACACATTGTTTTTCTCTCGAAAGAATTACATATTATATACGAGACCAGTTGAAGAGTTAATTTAAGTCAAGACTCCAAACCAAAGGCAAATTATTAGAAAACGATGGCCTTGGGGTTGAAACTCTTTTAAGTTGTGGAAGGGCCATTAGTGGGCCAATTAAAGCCCATTTCTGTAAGAAAGATCTAATCCAACACTGCCATCTTTTAGTGGAAATTATAAATATGGTTGTAAGACTAACTCTTCAAATACTAGTGCATCTCACCAATGAGAGCATTATAGATTAGAGGAGAGAGAAAAAATCTGACAGAAAAAATAGAATTTTAGCTAACATATAATATTTTCATTGGTGAGATGTACTAAATATTTGGTACAACAGTAGTACCAAAGATTTATTCCTTAAAAAAGGCCTCCGCAACGTTTGTACTTTGCTTATTCAATTGGGAATGCAACTCGCTTTTGCCTACTTTTAAATAAAGATAAATAATAAACAATAACACTGAAATTTATTATTTTATGAGAAAAATGCATTTATATCCTTAAAAATATGGCTCATTTGCAAATAAAGAAAAATAAAGTGTTTTTAATGGAAAATAAAGTAATAAACTAATAAAAACATATTAATTTACAATGGTTCGAGCGTGGGCTTTGAGCGGATCCAATGCCAGGTAGTCAAATGCCGTTTAATATATGTGGAGTAGTGTGGACTATATATATAGAGCAACAGCTCCCACATCCACATGTTCTTGACCTCAATGAAAACATCATGGTGGGGGACTCGTACTCAGAGTGTCTGTTAAAGTTAATTAAAAAGGGAAGGATTAAAAGAAGTGATAGAAAAACACAATCATAGAAGAGTAGACCCTATATCTTTAATTGAAAAGTTTTGACAGTAACGATCCAGGACCAATAATTTTTCACTCTGATTGAAATAATCAGGTAAATGTTAATTGAGAGATCAGTTACTAATGTCAGGTGGGTTTCATCATGGGATGGGGTTTCACTTTCGATATATAAGTGTTTTAATAATTTTCTTACATTAAATAGTAATTTTATTTTTCTCTTAAATAGATTACAACTAAAATTACATCAACATCAACGTCAACAATATCTGTATCTCAAACAAATTGATGTCGGTGATAGATGAATCCATACGATATGAAGAAATTAAAAAAAGATAAAAATAAAATTTGTATATATATAAAGATGTAAACAATTAAAAGGGAAAATATAGTAAGGTAAACTAAAGATAGAGAGATATATAGGAGGGAAAAAAGAGAAAGCAAGTAAGACAAATAAATATATAAATATAAAAGTAAAAAAAAAAGTGAGAAAATAATTTTGGAAAAATCACCTCTATTATAATGAGTCTGACCATACTTAAAATGAACTAGTCGGGAAACTGGTGAAACAGGGGTATTATACATTTAACAATGGAATTATTCATTTAACAATTACACAAATTAAGTTATTAACATACATGTCGATCCTTAGTAATTTAAGAGTAAAGTATAAAAGAAACGTAATAACTGTTTGGGACTTGGTGCTTTAAATCAGGATCCGATTGATCCCGTTTGGTCAATTAAGTCTACCCATTTAATTAAGGTACCAAGAAAATCTGGACAGATTCTCATGATCCAAACAAATTATTCGGAAAATCTATCATTTATTTTAATGGTAACAAAAGAATAAAATAAAAAATAGAACGTGATTAGTTTCTGTCCCGCTATAATCTCACCACATTCAAAACAAAAATAAACCCGCTAAATTGAGTTCATCCTGCTTCAAGAAGACAAGAACCCCACACCATTATGAGATTGAAGCAGAAAGGAAATTAAAGGAGCGAAGAAAGAAAAAAAAAAAAAAAAAAAAAGGAAGAGAGAAACACAGGAAGCGTCCCCACCATGAAAAGCTTCAAAGTAAAAGCCAAAGAAACAGAAGAACTGGAACAGCTTTACAAGAAACTGGAACAAGAATGGCACGCCTTAAAGCAATCTAATAACTCAACAACAGCTTCACGCAAATACTCTCCTCCTTCAAACGCAAACATCAAACCTATTCAAGAACAAGACATCATGTTTAAGCTTCAACAAGATTCCTCATCAACGGCAAAAGCATGGAAGAACATGATGATGACGACGAGGAACAAAGACATGGCAGCGCAAGAGATTCTCCAAGAGCGTATGGAGGCTATCGAGAGTGGAAAATTGAAGGGTCGACGACTTTTTCAACCAATGGTGGTGGGAGAGAGTGATAACATGGTACCTCATCGTGAAGTGAGGTCTATCTCTTTCTATTACTCTGAGGATGAACATGATGCGGATGAAAATAGTGGAAGCAAATTAGGGTTGCATGATTGCACTCGAGAGTGTTCTTATTCATCGTCTTTGTCATCCTCTTCGTCTTGTCTTGTTGGTGCT